CAAATGAAGAAATGTTAACAATAATTTCTAGTTTTTGTATTAAGAAAGTTTTAAATTTTGTTTATAATTTTTGCTGGTCAAAAATGGGAAAATAAATTTCAAATAATGTTTATCATTATGTAAGTTATTTTTAAGGTAAGGAATTGTGAAATGCCCCATGTGCAGTGCGCAACGCAACATGAACACGTGCCCGATTAATCAACGCGTCTCCCAAATTGGTTATCTTATCCCTTTCAGGAAGTTGTACTAGTATCCTTACCGGTGCTCGTGTCAAGGCCTGTCACTGCCTTGCAAAAATACGAGTAGAATGCAAGAAAAATAATTTTCTCATGGACTGCAAAGCGCGTCGACGCCGATACACTGCGTTTCGTATCATCTGAGCCGAGCAAACTGTCTTGATCGGCTCTCTTTCTAAGCGGTAAGGACGGCCGCTGCGACCTTCCAGCCTGACAAATAAGGCATTTTCTTCGGCCCGTGATTTAAGTGCACAGCACTGCATTTAGAATCTGCACTTCCAACTCTCTAATAGCTCATGTACAGACCATTTTGGCGAACAGCAATCTCGGCAACGGTACTGTAGTTCAAGCCTCAAGGGAGCCTCGTACAGGTGGCTCGAGTTAGCAATGCGCTCAGTTATCTTGTAACTACTGAAGTTGCATTGCTAATTTTTTCTTCTTGGTTCACACCAACTGCTGCGACTTGTACTGCCTTCGGGGATCTGTACTCCTTATACATACACTACTTATTTCCCCCTTGCCCTACGCCAAACTTTGGGCCTGATTGCACGTTTGGTCTCTGACAGGTACTACTGGCTAGGGAGCTGTAGTCTAAACAGAATGTCAACCTTCACAGCCTCAATAGAAACATTGTATACGTTATCTCTACAAAGATAGCTATACAGAACTACGCATCGTACGAAAGTGCGTCAACACATCATCTTTGTTGCATCAACTCACTGCAGGAGTATGTTGAGGCCCAACTATTATTTGTGCCTTTGCCATTTGGACAAGCTTGACTGCTGCACCTGCATAACTCCGTCCGTATACCTCAATGGTATGGTGAGGTGATGAACCATAAACTCTACTAATAAACCCAAACCCCAAATCCCTCCTTATAGGGATACCACTACGGTGTGTCAGGGTCCTGTGGACCTATCAACAGGACGGGGGAAATGCCGACTTCGGAAGCACTTGCTAACAATACTTTCTGCACGTTTTCGAGTTGTAATGATGAACCGCGTGTATAGGGGCAACACTTGGAGTAGTACATATGTCATGATATGATGACATTGTCGGGCTCCCCAATCTCGTGTCCAAGGATTCGCTCCCTTCATTCCGGGGACGAATCTGGATACCTTACCCGCAGAAACACTTATGTAGGGAGCAGGATGCTGTCAAGGTGCGTCTTTAGACTTCTGAAATACGTAATGCAAATTAATATTCTGCTGACGAAGTTCGAGGATCCTACCTTGAAAAGACAAGACAATGTGATTTTTTTATTAAATTAATTGTTGTCGCCTTGTTAATTTCGCGTGTGGGGATGGGGAGCAAGAATAGATTTCCAAGCTCTGTGCCAAGCAAATCGCACACGGACCCTGAAACGAGGAACGTGTGCATCTGAAGAAATTCAAAAGTTAAAATGGGCAACGTCCGGCAGAAACCTATCGACGGACAAAAACCGGCTCTGGATCAGGACGTGTACTGCCACAATCTTAGATTGCAAACCGTGATGCACAGCCCTCGTGCCATGGGATGTCCGCGATTATTCACACTAGCAAGAGACTGATACAAGAAAACTATAGTCAAAGATGAACAGGTTAACCTGTGTCTGTGGCAGTGTAGCTCTGCACTATCTGCAGCAGTCTATTCAGATTGCTAATTTACATATTCACTCTGACTATATGCACAGTTATGCTATAAGAAACCTACTGACCTAAATACTGGTCAACTTTGTCCAGGTACCAATTTCATGTTCTGTAGACCTAGCACTGAGCCATCACTACTACATAGCAAGCTCATATCAATAACTACTTTAATCTACTGTACTTTGTTCTAGTTTATTTAGTTTTATACAGAGACATTGACTAATATTAGTAAAATAGGAGGCTCTCTCTTGATCTTCATATTCAATCTCTTAATGTGCTTTTTATTGTGCATCTATTATCATCTTTTCTTTTCTAAGGATTTAATACATTTTGACAGACTATATATATATATTCAAGATTACTCTAAGAAGAGTTAGCTTGTAATAGTTACTATAACATCCTTACAAAGTACAGATTGTATATCAGCAAGTTCTACAGGCTGTAATACAAAAGCTTCTATCTGTACATAGATCACAATATCCTGCATATAGGTTCAATATCAAAGTGCTGCCACTGGTGGCTTCTTTCATCACCAGAAGCATGGAAGAACAGCATTTCACATACGTCATTCTGCCATGTGTGTGTAAGAACTTCAATGACTGCCCTTAGATAAAAACACTACCTTGATAAGGAAGAATGTCGGTGCCCGATTGAAACAACTAGAACCGTCTTCTCTTCGTTCTAGCTAGAGCTAGAAGCCTTACAGGTATGCAATGTATTGGTTTGTACAGAATTCTCGATACCAATGTCAGGCCTAAGAGCTGATATGCTAAAAAGAGATGCGTGTGGGGTGATCGAATATTATGCACTGCATTGCGCCGCTATTTCAAGTCCTTACCATCAGTTGACTCCTTATGGCGTGGCCGCGACGTTCGATTGACAGTAGCGTAGCAATGCACAGGCCTTCCACACATCAACCTACCAACATGATATTTTTCAGATATTGTGCTTGATCAAGGTGTAAGGAAACTCACTGTTCCTCACAAGAGAATTCTAATCGCCCTTAGTTCACTCAACTACTGACTAGGATAACCTAGTACTCAATTGAGGGGTCAGGGGAAAAGAATTCCCTTTACCCAGTGATCGATACTGTCTTTTATAGGGTAGTACACGTATAGATACATGAGGAGGAAGTGTAACTAACTACAATAAGAATATATGTGCTTGTGGGTCCTACTACACAATGATCTGACACAATCAGCAATGTAGTGATAATAAAATACAAACCAGTAAATCAAATCCTTACACTTGCCCTCTAGCATTTAGTCCTAAATGCTAAAAATTAGTAGAAAAGGTAGAAAACTTACTTAAAAGTAACAGTTAGTAATGAGTAAATAATAAAATACCTTGCCCATGCATATGGGAAACATCCTTGTGATGTATTACTGCCTCTCTGAACTGATCCAAAGTTGATCCAGTGTGTATTGAGACAGTGGTAGTGTTCTGGACAGTGAGTAGCATGGTTCCAAACCATGTGAAACTAGATAAAACATCAATAGAATTAAACATAGTCAATATTACTGTATAGTCAATTAGTAGAAAAGTTTCCTCTTGATTGTTGCTATTGATACAACACTTTTCAAAGAGAATCAGTAGAGTTCCTGGGGAGATATGGCATTTTGGCTCTTGAGTATTCTGAGACACACAGTGTAGATTAATATGTACAGAAGTGGAAATTCTGGCAGTGTGGTAATTGCAAATATTCTCTTCTCCTGCATCTTCAGGAAGTGCAGAGGTAAATCCCTGATCAATGAAGCTATAGCCTTCTTCCTCAATAGAATAGATTAGCATTACAGCTTCTAGCTGTCCTTGTACATTTCTCTGTTTCTGTAGAATAGTAATGTAATAATAGGTAGTAGAGATGTATTCCAAAATTCCTCTACTATGTCCTCAATTTTTCCAATAGACTAGTTCCTGCAAATGTAGTGCCTTGTGCTTGTATTGGTAGAATGTCTCCAAATGTGTACTCTTTTGCTTACAATAATGAACTGTGATGTAAAACTGGATATCCTGTTGAGCTTGATGTCCAAATACTAATTGTAGAGTGTAATGTAGAGTGTAATATCTGTCCTTGAATGAGAATATTATCTTAAACTCAATGAAATTGTGAGGTATGAGTCTAATATCACTAGATATGTGTGTATATACATGGTATCTCTGTGTGTGATGAATGTCCTACTGTATTCTCATACTGTTTCCTTGTGTCTTAACTTGTTCATGTCTTTGTAAGTCAACTGAT